CCGATTACTTTTTCATATATGTGGCCGGGTATTACTTGCATTATGTAGTACTCTTTCATGTTTGCCCCTTGTTAAATTACATCTTGTTGTAATGTAATTAAAAGCTGGATATAAAACTTGTTTCAAGAAGCACTTAGACAATGACAAAAATGTATGTCGCCCTCTGTGTCAAGATCGTGGCTAGGGACTTGTCCCACTTGATTTTTGACACAGCACCTAATTCTGAATACTCCATTTAGGCACCGGAATAAAGTAATCCTCCAGCGAACCATCTGTACTATTTTAATTCCCACGCTCCATCCGCCATACTTTATGGGGAGCGTTCAAGTTGCACTTGCAGTGACGTACGGTCCGCCACATATAATGTATATTCTATATTCTTAGATATGCAAATATATTATTTTTGTCATGGTTGAGATGCAGCATTTGCATATAAACTATGGTTTTTGGTCAATACAGAAAACCGTTCTGTTCAAATAAAGGATATTTATGTATCAATCTCCAATTTATAACAGCATCGTTATTCGAACGAATCTTGTGTAAAACATCCCTAAAAGTCGATAATGGTACGACCCACAGCATCGTGACGTAAGTAGTCACATCTTGAATAATACTTGCCAGGCCTCAGACTATACTAATCTGAGGCCAGACGCAGTCACCAGTCACATACACATCATAGATCACATACACATAAGATCGTTTCATTCAATTTCAACGCAGATTTTAGGTCAACTCCATTGTAAAGTACCACATTGTCTGATTATAAGGACACTTAGCAACAACGATGTTTAGCGTCTTAGTTACGTCGCTACATTAATCTGCGCATGTGTGTTATGTGTTGATGTTTGCGTAGCGCTGTGGCATGCGATATATTAATGTTTCGGGGCATTGCGTTCAGTGAAAGCGATCGCAACCCAGGACAATACCGCCACTAATTCTTTATACTGCACTAAGGATTTGAGGTATGAGCAGGTTTCTTTTCGATATAGGCGTGGAGTTGAAATGACCTCCATGATATGGGGTTGTAAAGCCGTCAGTGACAGATAATTTCGTTGATTTGACTGGTGACTTCAGAGACGCTCCTTTCATTTTTGTTTTTACATATATCCTGTATTTATTACAAACACTGTCGCAATGATCCACGTAGCGAACACGTTATATATGTGTAAAGTATGGGGTATATTCTGAGACGCAGATATATTTCCACAAATCTAACGTAATCACAAATTCTTGTATAATTTTGAGACTATTGGATACTTTTTATGTTGTAGTAGACTGTGGAATCACTCCCCCTTATAACGTTGTACTGGGAGGGGGTGGGACAGTACATGATTCAAATGGCAGTCTTTCCCGGACTTAAGTTCCGGGCTTCCAACTGTCTTCTATACAGTGTATTAACCTGCTAAGCTGGTTATTGAAGACTGATCGATAATTTTAAATTTATATTACACTCCGCAGTCTGTAATCACTTATTCGCTGGGCTTTAATCTCACTCGGTCTGGTAAGTAGAATCCGCTAACTTGAAATTGCGGTCATTTGAACCACAGTCCCTCTATCACGGGACTGTGTTTGAACGTTTAAGGTAGAAGCCTACTCATAAATTAAGAAAAAAAAACAGAATTTATTCATTTTGCAAATAAATTGTACTTCAAGGCAATATAAGGTTATTGACCTAAAAAAAGTTGGGGGTCACCAGCCTTTTTTTCGAGAAATTGATGGTTCTATTTTAGTCGAAAGTCGCTATTTTGACACTATTATAACACTTTCTATGGCAGAGATATTATGCAATATCTCAAAATCTAGCCTGGTGACACAGGCTGAAAAATCATATATTGTTAATGAGTACTTTTTGTTGTTCTGAATAATTTAAAAAATCTGGGTTTTAAAAAGTGTCAAAAAATGCAATTTTTCTTTAACATTGTGTTCTATGGAATTGTTCTAAAAATAGAAATGTTCAAGAAATATTAGGACACGTTTCTCAAAAAGCATAACTGTAACACACATAATAATGCTATTTTATTGTACCATAGGACATTAGCTTCATGATTGTACATAATAAACTAATAAACATTGTCATGCGATTTAAGACCAATTTTGTAAAAAATTATGACTAGGCTTCTACTGTAACAGTTGAACTCATCGTGTATTAAAAAAAACAGTGCTTTTTGACAAAATTATATTAAATCGCATGTCAGTGTTCGTTGGTCTGTTATGTAAAGTCTTGGAGCTATTGTTCCATGGCAACATCATAAAATAGCATTATTTTGTGTGTTGCAGGGACGTATTCTGAGAAACTTGTCCCAATATTTAAAAAAAAATCGCTATTTATAGAACAATTCCAAGGAGCATAATGTTAAACAAAAAATGCATTTTTTAACACTTTTTATAACCCAGATTTCTGAAATGATTCAGGAAAACAAAAGTACCTCATTATTAACAATATATTATTTTTTCAGCCTATGTCACCAGCCTACAATTTGAGATATGGCATAATATCTCTGCCATAGGAACCTATGGTAAAAGCACTATAATACTGTCAAAATGGCCACGATCCACTAATTTAAAAATACAACCATCATGTTCTCGAAAATTAGGCTGGTGACTCCAAAATTTTGTTAAGTCAATATTCTTATAGTGCCCAAAAGAACAACTTATTAAAATATCGATAAATTCTGGGTATTTGAAATTATGAGTAGGCTTCTAATTTAATAAAG